TCAACAAACTTGCAAATATTAGTAGTTCATCAGTGAACACAAAATAAAAACAAACGCCACTATATTTACACTTGAGGGCGCCACACCACTGGAGAAAACAGTCTACGAACAGCGACCAGCTGATCGACCGTATCATGCAACATGGGTGCTCGAATAGCTCGAACGTTCAGAAATATCAACATAGAAAACAAAGCACAGAAATATATTGACAAAGATATTCCACGGCCAGCACCGAGACATTCAACGACAGTTGAGAAGATTGATACATTTGTCAAAAGTAAGTGCTTCATTTTAGCCCGTGTTCCGAGGATCGGGCTAATTTTTCCAAGCCAGTCGGCTGACGATCTAAATCATGTGGTTGATAGCTGAAATCAATACATTGACATCTATTGAGCTAAACGACATATTCGTCATGATTGTATTGAATTCAGCAACCAACCACAACAATAGATCGTCAGGCCTCTGTGCGTAATACTGACGAAATTTAGGTATCTTCTAGTTTTATCCAGTAAAATGTTGTAACTTTTGACCAATAATGCTGGGTCCAAATGTTGAAGATTGTGGCGTCAAGGGGTTCTACCGTCGAGGGGTCGAAACGTTGAGGGGTCTAATCGTCCAGGGGTCGAAAGGGCAATGACCTGATACCATGAATTTAATGTCACCTTACCCAGGGTGAGTGTGCCATAGACTCAATGGGAAGGCCAAACCCAGGAATAGATCAAATGTGGACAATATGCGCACACAATTATCACATTTTTCAAACCCAGCTGTGCTACTTTGGTAAGAAACAAAACCCTGAAGCAATTATTTCAACACAAGAACAGTTTTAAACCTGTCTGTTGCAATTTTAGGTTTTGTTTACTTATTTATTCGTCAGAACAAAACATCAACATGAATAATTAATCACATGATGCAACATAATTTGAAACAAATTCTATTCGAATATTGAAAAGAAGTTCAGTGTCCGAAAATGTCAAGAATCGACATAAAAATATTTACCAAATAATGAAAAGAATATCAAAATAATTACTAATGCTGTGATTGACATTCCCTCATCCATGCACATCAGCAACACTTTGTCACTAGCATATGTGACTTTCTGAATTTATGAAACAATCAGTTTCAATCTCCTAGGTAACCCACATATTGCAGAAGAAGTAAAAACAAAACATGTGAAATTAGATGAATTCTTGAAGAAAGTGAGAGTTGAGTCAACGGAAGGAGCTGTAAAGGTCTGTGCATTTATATAGTGTCTGAATTTTGCTAATATTTGTAGTAGTTCTGCAAAAAGATTTTAAGTGATTGAACCACATGTGGATTGATAATTGGTATACCGGTAAATCAGGTACATGTAGTTTGGAAACATAGAAGATCAGGCTAGTTTTAACAATATTAACATGTTAGTATCTAATAATTAAGAAACAAATCACTTATTACCGTATTGTTTGTTTGTTGTTATAGGAGTCTAATTTCCTTAGAAATAGTTTCCATTGGTTGACAACAATAAAATGTCAGTAATACAATACATATAATACGAAAGTAAAAAAAATGTCAGTTATTGTTATTTTTGATTTCAAATATTTTGTATAAGTATTCACTAGCTTGTCTTATTGTGTCTTCTCTTGAATTGAAATGAAATTTCAGTGGTGCATTCAGGAAAAATGCTTCTGTATTTTTTCTATTAGTAGCCCCTACACTTGTGTAATAAATGTTTTTTTTTATTGACAAGAAGTAAGTTATATTTCAATGATTCAGTATGAAATGTAATTTTGGGTTTATGTGCGCTACTAGTAGCAACGTCTTTCTAATGGAGCAAATCTGTTGTTTTCAAAAACAGATCAGAGTTGACCATATATAGACAAGTTAGACCTGCTTCTCTGGTATGTGTGGAAGTATCTTGTTCAAACTTGGTACATATACATACCTAGACTGTATGACCAACCATGCTTGGACTGGTTGCATTCATCAAGTAAAAAAACAAATACATGTCATTGGCATACATGTGTATAGTCATTTTGTAATCTAACAATGAAAGTGTATTGTGTTTTACTAAATTAGAAACTTGAGTCAGTTGACAGTACAGCGCGACCCATGAATGAGAGAAAACTGCCTATGGATACCAAAAAAGTTGACTTGATGTCTGCATTTGATGCTCCAAGGGAAATACCAGAAGGGAAGCTGTCTGTTGTCATGGCATTAGAATTACTTTCCAAACATAAGAGAAGTCCTGAGGTGAGTGAATTGAGTCTATAACTCTATTTCTCAGCATTAGATGTTGTATTTATTATTTAATTACCCGATTAAAAACTGACTGACAGATACTGATGACTCTTGACTAAGAATTTGTAACAAGGTCAAGTTTATGGTCTCTGGATTTGACGTGTAAAACAAAAACAACAATATTTGTATTTTTCTTCTTGGGCCTAAAGCAAAAAATTACTGGTAGTTTTATTTTTTTTTTATGGACCATCTGCCATTCACCTTGTGCATGGATCAAACGTAGAAACAGGAAAAGCAAAGGTCCATATCGCCATAGTGACATCAAAAAAACAGAGGCATTCAACAAATGTGGAACTATTTTTGGGGTATTTCCATACTTAATGATGTGCTGTACAAATTATGATGGTCCATTTTGATGAAGTAAAATTACATTACTTGAGATCTCGCAGTGAACAGAAAATCACTTATTCTGAATTTTTATAATTAATTATAGTATTACTGTGACTTGCACATTTTTAATTGGTGCAACTATGCAATGACCCCATTTTTCCTTCTGAGCCTTACAAAGAAAATTTAAATCTGTGTCTTATACTTTGCAAAATATTACTAGAGGTAACCCTGTGAATATGCTCAAACTACCCGTAGTAAAATTGAATCTTGGTGATAAACTTCTGAGATGTTCAAAAAAATAGTACAGTGACTGCCTTTTTATTCTGCTTTCTTTTATTGACCAGATTTTTTTTAATATATATATATATATATATATATATTTGCTGTACGGTAAACACCTATAATTTGTTTGTGCATTGCCCTCAGTGTTGGCATTAAGGGAATCTTTTGTTTTTAGTTACAATTGTGTAATGCATCAAATTAAAACCCCTTCTTCATCAAAAGTATAACAAATCTTTCTATTAAGAATGGGGAATCAACATTTTTCTTATCATTTTTATTTCATTTATTGATACATTTTCTTCCTTCATTTTTTACTTGGGACCAGATAGGACTCCATTACCATTTGTTAATTACTGATTCAAATACGAAATTGTAGTTATTACAATATCAGTGACCTCAAAATGTAGGCATTATATTATTCTCACCTGTTATTTTCATATTTTGAAATTAAAATGAACAGCGCCCTCAGTGTTTAAACATGTTTAAACAAGTCAAATAAGTAGATCAAATAAAGACAAATCATTTTTTAATTTTCAGAAATGGCCAGCAGAGCGTCTAGCTGAAGATTTCAATATGGACTTAGAAACGACCAAACATATTATTCAGTATTTCAAAGTATTTAAAGTGCACACGATTGGACCCTCAGAAGACATGGTAAAGGGTATTAGGGCATGAATCTAGCTAATTACAGTGAATGCTGTGGCTGCCTGGATAGGTCCACTCAGTGCAGTGCAGAGTCTCTGTTATTGGCCGAGACCGAGTAACCCTGGAATCATGTAGTATGTTTGCTGTAGCTAAACAAATCGTCAAGAACTCAGGTTCAATTATTACCAAGCATCAACAAGTTAGTTGGTCAGGAAGTGGTCAGCAGAGCGTCAACGAAACAACCAAATTGCTTTGAAATATAAAGTTTTTTAATTGTGAACATCACATGCTCTAATTTCATGTAAACAAACATTAAATAATGTTACACTGTACGCATTGTATTCATTGCATGGTTCTCATATTTAAATAGGGAATTAAAAAACTTTGTACGAGAGATGTAAAAAGTATATCCTTGGTTATATGACCCAGGATATATAACAGTAGAGAAGATTGACCAAGATACTAAATTGTAGAGGATTTTACAGGAAAGAGTCTACCAAGGATGGATAAACGTGTAATTTTTGACAAGTTTGGGATATTGATTATTCCAGAGCAATGTACAGCATAATGTTTGTAGTTTCTTTGAATTGTGTGAAGGATTGTGCATCATTAGTCATCGTGTTTTATTTTTGCCAGATTGCAGACTTAATAAACAGTACTATTTCAGAATGTTTTCATGTAATTTACCTCGGTGTTCAGTCATTGAAAGTCACATTGACCTACTTTAAAGTGTAGTTGTGCAATATGAGTACTTGTACATTACATGGTTTATATTCAGTTATTGTTACTTTTCACAAAATAAATCTGCATAACCTTTTCATATTTTTCTGATTAAGATCAGTAGGAAATATACAATTGTTTATTTGATCCGAAATTAACAAAGTTCAAAGACCTGATTTTGTTATTGCTTCAAAGCAGAAACCATGTTGAATTGTTAGCTGCCAATGTGACAATGCAATTGAACAGCAAGAATGTGAATGGAGATACTCGGGGCTCTTGTGAAATTACAAGTGGAAAATAACAAAAGTGTACGTGCAAGTAATAAAGAAGTAGAGAACAAATCAATACAAATATTTTGTTTATTTAAAGTATTCCCCACATTGCTGAATTGTAGTTACCTTCCATTTTACACAGAATGTTACCATTGTTTACAATGTCAAGACTGGAAAGAAAACATCAATCCACATCGGATACAAGACACAAAATATTTAGCTTTGTCAATATTGAAATCATAATTGGAGCAACCTTGACGAAAGTCAACTTTTATTAATTCCACTGGTTAATGCAAGTAACCAATGCTGAAATAATCTACTTACCGGTAATAGTCCTTCATGCTAGTTAAGCAAGCCCAAATACCCTTAAATCAATTGAACTAGTTGGTACAGATTAATTAACTAGCATGAACTTGAATGACATGATTCTATTGGTAGAAAGGAGTTTCAGCATGTAGACCAGTGATTATACAGTTTTGCGAAAATGAATATTTCAAATTGCTGTTATTCAGTTTATACTTGATTTGTTTTTCCTTGCAACTAGAGCACCTCAAAAGCAATATTGAATGCTTAGTGGGAAATCTACCACAAAACAAGCACGACTACCTGTAATACCTCCTTTTCATAATCAGCTTAGGGGGACCACAGAAATTTAAGTGTTTCCAACAATTTATTCATAGAATTTTGACATTCCTTTGTTCAATTTCCAGGAAAAAGCATTTTAATACCATCCTTGTACCAAATCAGAAATATCTGACATGCTTGTGCCACACGCTATAGCCTCGTAAGTGAGCAGATGCTACAACCAGGCTGATTGAATGTTTACAGTTGAGTAGGTGCCATTCTCCAGAAATGTTCTCGTATTTCCATGTTTTGAATAGAGGGGCCTTTCATGAATAAATCATTTAAGGGTATGACCTTAATTCCGAAATTAAATATATCAATTTTATCCCATTCAGCAGTTGTGAAGATAGAATACTAATACTCCTCCCATATGTGCTTACTGCGTACTTTACCTAAATACGCGAGTGGTTACTTCCACTGGTCACAGCTTGCAGACTGCCAATCTACCAATACTGAATACATGCAATACAATGAAATGGAGGATCACAAGATCACTGACCTTCCAAGGAAGCCTTTCTGTGTCAAATCGGTTAAAAAAGTGACAATTACACGTAGATGGAAATAGATTTATAATTTGGATGAATCCCCTTGGACAAATGTTTGCATCAAATGTTTAAAAACATTGGCAGTGGAATGTACGACATACAGGGTTTTCAAATCTTTTTACTGGATGCACTGTACCACATTTTAAATAGTTTTTGTTTTGGGTATCGGTACGAATTCAACACTCTTTAGTGAAAATTTCAGTTATTTTTCCCACACTGCCATCTGAGTGGTTAGTCAGAGAAATCTTTTTCAAACAGCTGGTAAACCAAGAAAATGTTACTGTAAAATTGATTTAGTTTCACAAGACAGATTTTCGTAACTGTCAAGTGGTCAGGAAAATCATCAGGAAATTTATAGCAGCAAAAACATTTAGTACAATTATTGCTTTTCCTTCAAATGAAAGTTACAGATCTATCACACCAATGTGTGAACAAAACAGTTTAAAAACACTTTCCCAACAAAAAGATTTTGATAAGAACTGTCATCAGCAGAACCCCCTTTGAAATAACTTTATTTTGATTTCGATATTAACTGATTTTCAACAGAGAAATAACAAGTTCATTTTTGGAAAGTTATTTTGTAGTGAAAAATAATCTGTACTGTAACATGAAAGTGGCACAACTATCCCTCAATTTACCAAGCTCCACCCCCGTATAGCTACAAAATGGTTCAGTCTGTCAGTTGAAAACAATGGGAGTCCTTGTAACATTAAGGAGGGAGGAACAACATGTAACATGTAGTGGGAGGAAAACAACTTTATGGATGATTTGCAAAACAGGAGTGATAAGCAACATGAATGTGTAAAATAATCCTATAAATTTGGATGCTAGAATCAGCATTTCTCCCCAACATGATTGTTTTTGTAACAAAACGATAGCCTCTGGATAAAATCTTTCTTTTTCAGCTACACCCAAAGTCTGTGAATGTGACAACTTGCGATTACTCGTCTCGCTAGCATTGCATATTCTTTTATGAGTTCTACACATGGATAAAAAAAAAATATTTAGCCCAAAATGGTATTTGCATAAACTTTGTAGCAAAACAAAATTTTCTACTATAATTGTTTAAAATTATCTGGACTGGCGTTTGGCTGATATAAACTTGTGTACACCAGCGCTATTTACATGTCCCTATGTACAAACTCACAACATGTAATAAACTATGAACATTTCACCATTTACACATCGAAAGCAAACACGAATATTTGCACCAAACTTGCATACAGTATGCACAGTTTATAAAAAAAAAATTACCCCAGAACTCTCCCATCAGATATAGACAGCAGTAACGACAAAAAAATAGTCGAATTCCCAAAGGATATATACCATCTTGCTCAATAAAAAAAAACATTTTTTTTGCCCCAAAAGACCAGCTTTTGGAATGCAAATAAAATCCCTTCTCAAAAAAGATGAAGTCTCCTGTCTTCATCCATTTGAACTATCCCAGAATTCCACAGTATCCCAGAATCCCTTGCATGCAACAAGTGCTAAAATGAATATATTGACATATAATTTCCTTAGAAATGAAACAGTGAGAGGGTACTGGATTTATCACATCTTTGTGGTAGTTGACATACTGCTTACTATACACCACTCCACAAATGGCTAACTTTGATGCTAGTAAAATCTCATTACCCATTCAAGTAATTATTCCCTGTAATCTCTCAGTGATGTCCAGATGACTGCTCTGAATGGGAATAGAATTTTAATTCAACCAATCAAATTTACCCGTAATGAGATATTACTAGCAGCACGGCTAGGCATTTATGGAGAGGCGTATCGCAGTACGACACATAATCTTGGCTAAAACCAACAAATTTGAGATTTCTATGTCATATACCGGTACATATAATTCTAATCGTCTGTTGCATACAGAAGTTCAGACACTGCAGAAAATAATGTTTACATGGCTCAATATTATTTCTTTTTTGTCGGGTATGGTACACAAACTTAACATAGTTCGTGACTACACATACACTGGTTTGTCTTGTTCGGTTTTGACGGTGTGTATACTGTCGCTACTACTACTGTTTGATTGGTTGGGTCCGTCGTCTTCACTTTCAAATGAGTTCCACTGCGGTAACGGATGGCCACCGTCATCGAAGAACCGCCGGAATGTAAACTCGTAGAAGGCATGCTCTGGATGTTTGCCATTGTCAAAGTCCCAGAAACTTCTATCATCACTATCATTACTATCTGAACTGTTCCGTAGTTTATCCGGCGACACCGGATCAAAGTTTGATGTATCAGTAGGGTGTCGTATTTTTGGTATATACGGCGCATCCGTATGTCGAAGTCCTTTGTCCCAATCTACATGCTTAAAGAAAGGATGTCCTTTAATTTCTCCGGCACCATTCATTCCGAGCCTTCTCTCAGGTCCAGTGCAAAGCCTCAAAATGAGATCTTCTGATTCAAATAATAAGTTAGCAGCTTTCGGAATTAACAGCGTGCTGTTCCAGTTTATTACCTAAAGACCAAAACAAAAGTATCAAAGTAAATCTGCCATTCAAGACAATAGGGGTTCTGTATACAGAATCATAATTTCCTGCATAGGATAAACTCACTATTAAAGCATTCACACTGCGTCAAGTTATTAATTACTCTTGAAAACATTCAATAAGAAATAAATAAGTAAATAATAACAAAAACTATAATAGCGAACAGATACATTAATAACTGTTGTTGTACTGTAATAATTTCTCCAGGGTACAGATAATAAATCTTGTTGGAATTCACAACATCAACGAAAATCAAAGCAAACTAAAGCAATTAGGGTGAAAATGCCTATATCATCAGCATACATTAATCTTTCCCTCACAACATACTGTAAAATGACTAATTTTCACTGGGTTTAAATTTCCCTGATTTATCATTTCAGGCATGTTCAGTGGGTTTTAAATTCACGGTTTTATCATAAATTTTTTATAATAATAATTGCTAAATTTGACATATTCACTGGGTTTTAATTTAGCGAATTTTCCAGTCAGCGAAATAAGCAAAATTAAAACCCAGTGAATAATTAACCCCTCTACAGTACCACGTTTTATGATTACGTCAGTTTTATTTTCAGTGAAATCTCTTAATAATTACAAATTATAATTTGAAACTGAAAAAAAAAATATATTAGAAAAGAATTGAAGTACTTTTTACCTTAAGTTGTGTTTCTGCTGGTGTTTGTGCTAAAAACGGGGGTTGTCCAACTAACATTTCATACAGTATGACACCAACACTCCACCAATCACAGAGCTGTCGATAACCTTGTAAATAACACAAACAAGTTATAATTGATGACTAAATAAACTCTCTAAATATCAGTGTGCCCTCTAACAGATTTTTTGTAGGAATCCCGAATCGAAATGGAATCCCCAAAATCAAGTCAGCTTGTTGACTGCTGGATGGGTTGGTCGTCAAAAAAAATGCAATAAGTTACTGTCTTGGTGACTTAAGGCACAAACAAGAATGTTGTTGCTTCTGACATCCTTTGATTTTACACTTATTTTGTTAATAGAATATGAATTCCATTTTACCAAATTACAAATTCTGTAACTATGCAAGAGGTTGTTCAAGATCACTACATCTATGTATCATCTACTAGTTGCATCACAGCAAATCTTTGTGTTTCATTGGCATGTCATATCGGGCACACTGCTACTCAGTACTATTTGTAATAAAATTAGTCATCATTTAGATTGTATGAAAACCTGATTCTCGTTTCATAACATATTTTTGACATGGACATGGATACAATGACTATAGTTTGTTAACCTGTGATGGTGTACCAGTGATGACTACAACAGACATTGTTTACAAACAATTAACTTGTTTATTAGAGCATACAAAAGCAATCACATGTAAAATAGAGCATCATCATTTGGAACTTGCATTTCCTAATATGGTATGAACACTGTGTCAACCATCTTGGAAATATTGCATCATCATTCCTTATTTGGAATTTGCATTTCCTTATATGGTATGAACATGTGTCAACCGTCTTGGAAATATTGCATTATCATTCCTTATTTGGAATTTGCATTTGCTAATAAGATAGAAATACAATTACCCAGTTGATGCAAAATGATGCCATGCTGTACTTTATGGGGATACAGTGACAAGTTTATAATACCGGTAATGCGTATTTTTTCTGATGGGAGTGTTCACCCAAATAATTCAGTTACTATTCACCTGTTTTCATCAAGACTTCAGGAGCAATGTAGTTTGGCGTTCCAACTAACGAGTGCGCTTTCTGATGCTGTCTGTATTTCCTCCTTTCTAATGGTTTTGACATATCTTCCGTGATGTCGTAAGCGTAGCCTTCCCATAGTGAGGGATCCATACTGTCTTGCCGAGCATGGCCATCTGCAATAGCAACCACACACATTGGTTAATAGGCAATATATGCAAATGATATCAAATTATTAGGTTTCTTCAAGATTCACAGGTTTTCAATTTATAAGTTTCTCTTGTACTAAATTGTTATTCTTTTTGCCCTTATACCGGTACACAAATTCTGAGACAAGAATGTATTAATATGAGGTGACCTTTGACCTCAGGAAAAAATAGTTATGTATTTATTTTTCCATGTATTTTGTGAAATGGGCCGGTGGCCTTTAAGAACAAATAAAGATTCTTCTATACACAGTTTGTTGAAGAACACAGGCACGTCTAGTTGTCATACATTTGTAGTTGTATTTCTGACCAAAATAAAAAAATATATTTTTCAAAATTCTACATGCAATGTTTTTAAAATGGAACTGTTAGTAAATTTTCTGTACATGTAAATGCAGACCCATTTCAGTCGATAGTTATAGCATGGAATTATAAAATTGAGAACATATTGGAGTTCTTCCCGTTCTCAGTTAAGGTAGTGCAGTTTTTCACACATTCATATTTAAGCGTATATAGCAGTGACAACATTTTGTGTCAAAATCAGCCTACAATTTCTTGTTTTAGTATGTGGACAGTATGTGGACTTTTGCAATTCAATGTCAATCTGTTTTTTGAGAAAAACAGTAAAATAATATGCATAAAATGTTATTTTAGCAGTAACCACAATGAAAACAAATTTCCTTGCCGAAAGCACCCACAAAATATTGTCAATTTTTTAATACTTTCAAGGCATCAAAAAGTACACTATCTTTTTTTCACCATATGTCACTGAGAAAATGTTGAGTTACTGAGATATATCCTTGCCATGGGAAATGATAAAATGCCCTAAAACAGACAAAAACATGCTATTTTCACTCCATTTAGTACATAGATTTTCTCAGTACCGTGACCCCATATTTTTATTCCATTTTCTCAATCCTTCACATAAATATGTCAAATATGTAAAAATGAAGAAAATGACAATACTTTTTACTTTTGTGTGGCATTCTACCTTAAATTAGGATAATATGAACTTTCTATTTAACCATCTGGTACATCAAATCCTTAAAACCTTAGCAAAGCAGCTCTACATTTGTCTCTGCATTATTGAATTTTGATGCTTTTTCAATTCTAAATGAGATAGGTGTAACAGTTCGTTTTGTGCAACACTACAGAAAATATTTTAATTTCCATCTTGACTACAACACTCAACAAAGTACTAATAATTTCTATTCAGAACATGCAAACCCATTTATGGATGCACTTTTTTCAAATCAATAATTTACAAATTTTTCAAACCTATAACAAACCAATTTAGGCAGTTCCTCATTCAACGTTCTGTATACAGTTTTATTTTCACAAATATCAACATTTGTGAACTGCAGTAATGACATTAACGAGGACGGGATTTTACAGAAATCCACACGACTTGATCGCCGTCTTGAACCATCAACAATGTTCACTGTAACAAAATATTGTGACATTCCTGACTCGTGTCTTTTACAAAATTAAAGGGCGGCAGTCGTCGCGCCGCGTCCTGTTCGATATGGGACTCATAGCAACGTATACAACGCATGTAAAATACATTGTTTATTTACATGAAATTCGAACACGCGACGACCACCGCGCTTTAACCTTTTGAAAGCCATAATATTTTGGTGAAATACCTTTACAGAATTTCCCATTGGCAATGGAAGGTCTTAAAATATGGAAATAAATTATGCAAGTTTATTTTATTAAAGGTAACAAAAATTGACTCTGACCTTCAAAAGCTCAGTACATGTAGGTTTCTCAGTATTCAAAATATTCATGACATACATCAAATAATTTGAACTACGTGAACACATAACTGAACTCTGAGGGTAAGGACCAACCTCTGAGTGAGTCCCATGGCCAACTGGTGATACTGACATTAAGAGCAGTATTTACATACTAACAGTTAATTAAGTACATTTTTGTCATCGTTAAAGTTAGATAGCTGCAGTTTAATGCTTAACCAAGAATTTCCAGAATGTGACATATCATCAACATTTCAGTAAATAACACCCAACAATTATCTCAATAAATAACTTTCAAAGGTTGAAAGTAATTTTGTCTCGTCTGCAGGAAAGGTTACATATAATGTGGAGTTACATCCGATTAAAATAAGGGTTGGCAAAACCTACCTCTGGTTAAACATCAGACAAATAACTGAACCCTGACATTTTGTTTTATATCACCCATATATAGTGAGTGTACAAGTGGAAATTCTTGTTTTTAAATGTAAAATTAAATATGAATTACAACACATACTAAAAATACCAAGAGCAAATCACCATCACTCAATCTTTGTATACTACCTATCAAGACAGGATAACACAATCAAGAAATATCGAAAAGACTTTTTACTACCCCCCCCCCCTCCAGTGAATGAATACACACAGTAGAGTTTGTATGTGATTTTGTGAGGGAATCAGAGCAAAATACTGTAGCTATTTTATTTCACCCTCACAAATATTCTATGGAAAAAAAATGAAAAAATAAATTATTGAAATTATGAAAATGAAATGGTTTACATCGCTTTTATGAACCAAAATATGGGTCAGCATTCAGGGGTCAAAATACTCTGGTGCACACTGCACTATGTACATAGATTATTAGCTAGTGCAATTAGGTAAACACAAAATACAATGTGCACGCTGTGCATGTAGAAATTAACACAACATTTTCTCATTATATTCACTAAGCCTAAATTAAGTTCAACCAACATTGTAAGATAACTAAAATTCTTTCATGATTACATTGATCGAGAACCCGTAAATTTTATTTAAACTTCAAAAGTGGTGCATTTCACAACAAGTTAGTGCAGGTAAATTTCAAATTCAACATGCACACTGTTCATGCAGGGAAACAAATCTATTTCAATCCTTGGCATTCCTGTTTGAATATGTATGCGCCAGAAAAATCTGATAGATGACATTTAGTTTTAATACCGTGACATTTAGACAGCCCAATTATTTAATTAAATTAGTTCATATCATAGTATGGTTGCTACCAGTGCATTATCATGCTTCACGAATTGACAGGTCATCTTTGTAGGACAACACGGGTAATGCATGACATACCATGCAGTGAAACAGTTCAATGCACTCTCACCGGATTGCATCACAGCATTACATTTGATAAATTCCTTAACTAATACTTGTCCTTGGTTTTACATGTATGCCAACTGAAATCAAAACTAGTTGACCATGTGAACATTTCCAGAATGCCGTTGATACACCCAGTTGTTCACAATGCAGACCTCCTCGATAGAATTAATTGAATATTTTCACTGTTTTGTCAGGTTTTGTAGTCTATATCTTAATAAATAAATGTAAGTCAGTCTTACAGATGGTAAAAATACCACAGTCAAAATAAATTAAACATAACATCAGGTCATTCTCCTCAAGTTCTGCTATACAACCTAACAGTGCAATATATGCAGCTGACGTGCATGTAAATTTCACTAACTGTTTGCATAGGGGTCAATCCCCTCATGATCGGGTGTGACAAGAACCTCTGAAATTCTTAATTTGAGTCAATAAAGAAAACATGCCTGGGTGGTTGGCACGTTATGATTGCTATGTCAATATCACTGTATGAAAGTACATGTATTATCACCGCCAGTTGCTCTGGAATAACCACAACACATCCAGGGACGTAGAGTGCGAGCCTGGAACCGTCAAGATTCTGAAAGAAGCTTTGGTATTTCAAGTAGAAACACATGACTGACAGTCTTACAGTCGCTTCACACTATAACACAGCACAACATCATGATGATCTATACTGTAAATGCGATTTTCTCATTTTACATATGTACAATACATCACAGAAGAGAAATTCAAGTTTTGCATTCACTCAGCAAGTTGCTGTACAATGGCTTATGTGAGAGTAATTCAACTTTTACATCTAACTAATTATCTCAGAATACTGTATTAAAAACTCATTAAAATAATGTCCTAACCTCATTTATTTATAAAGGAGTTAATATACGGTACTACTAAATGCAATAAAATTTCTTTACATAATGTGAGAAAAATACAAATCTATTATTTTATATGTGTGGGTGACTTAGACCACCCTATGTACATAATTATTGTGTATTTTGCCTTATTTATGCATTTAATACACGTAGTGGAGTGATAATTGTATAGTGTTTTCAGTGGTCCATGAGAATGTTTTACATATTTGAAGACTGGACTCCACCCTGTATTCACACAGTGAGCAGAATGCAAACAATGTTCTTACAAGGCTAGCACACAGTCAAATTTCGTTTACATTTTCGCCAATCAGCATACGCATGTTCGACAACAAATGGTGTGCATGGACCATGCGATCTATTGTGACAATGTTACAAAGTTTGTTTTTTTTTAAACCTCGTCACAGCAGTGAACAAGGCCATTATATTGCCTTTTAGAATTAGCAACTGGTACAGGCCAAACAGTAACAGCACAAGTGCAGAAGTGAGAAAATGCGAACAAGTGTGACTGCATCCTTTTATATTAAGGCAAATAAATTTTAAGAAATGAAAAAGAAAAAAATCTTGCAAAAAGTTAGAAAAATTATAATGGTGTAACACAGGATTTGAAAGTATTAAACTCCCTAGCACTTTCTGATAGTTCTTTGTAAAAAGTTGTATTTTACTATAACGACACTAACCTGGTTGATAATACTTTGAGTCGTGCGTCCACCTGAATCCAGTACAGAGTCCAAAGTCGGTCAATTTGATATGTCCATCTCTGTCAATCAATATGTTATCCGGTTTTATGTCACGGTGAATAAATCCCATCCGGTGAACACTCTCAATCGCAAGGACAAGTTCCGCAATGTAAAACCTGGCTAGGTCTTCCTCAAAGATCCCAAATTTGATGAGTAAACTCATTAGATCTCCCCCTGGGATGTAATCCATGATGAAGTATAAATTATCACGGTCTTGGAATGAGTAGTACAGTTTAACAACCCACTCATTATCAGCTTCTGCTAAAATGTCTCGCTCAGCTTTCACATGCGCAGCTTGATTTCGCCGCAAGACATCCGACTTTCGCAGAGTTTTCATCGCATACAAAGCATTGGTGTCATTTTTTTGAACAAGGGCAACCTCCCCAAATGCCCCCACACCCAAAGTTTTTATCTTCTTGAACATGTTTTTCTCCATTTTCGCTCGCTTTAGTCGAATGTAATTGGATTCTTTCTGACTGAGCATCCGTCGCATTTGGGCCTGCGCTTCCTCGGAAAGCCCGACTTTGGCCATTTCAGTTTCTAATTGTACTCTCCTATGAACTCTCTGTTGGTGAGATTTCAGTACATTTTCCACATGCTGTTCCATATAAAATTTATACGCTTGAGGGGAGTAACTTTTTACCCTCAGCTCGCGGCAGTAATCGTCACGTTTCTTTTTTCTTTCAGGAACTGGAGATTCAATCTTATGATGCACATATCCCTCATACGGTGGCGGGGGTTCACTTGGCGTATCCGACGCTGTTGAGTTCGTTTCTGCGATAGTAAGCGGTGAGTAACTTTGCAAATTGGGAGATTCTGACCTGGGTGTTGATCCATGACAGCTCTGATTGCTGTGAGTGCTGGGTAAACTTATACTATCTAATGATAATCTCCTTTGCAAGGGCGGATGCGGATGATCTGGGGCATGAGCAGTTTGTAATACAGGTTTTTGAACTAATGTACTTTTCACTGAATGCATAATAGGTGTTGGTGAGTATGATCCCGGTGAAAGCGCACCCGAAGGTGCTGGCGTTTGGTTCATTCCATGTTTCTTAAATGTAGTAGTTACAGTCTGTGATGTTGTTGTGGTTTCCTTGGAGGTTGTTTTGACAGTTTGATTGGGGGATGACTCCAACGTAAGCTGTATAGTTGGACCTTGCCTGTTCGGTTGATTCATATTTGGTATAACAATCGTGACTTTATTTTGTTGCTGTTGTTCCTGACTGTTATCAGACCCATTTGATTGAAACAAATTACTGTCATTTTCGTTATAGAACATATTCTGCGGGATGGGTGCCCGTGATTGCTGCTGCAACTGTTGACTGGCGAGCTGCTGCTTGTACTGTTGACTTTCTTCATAGCTTGGCGGTGGTGCCCTCCGTAGTGCAGCACTTATTATTGCAGTAGCCGCTGAGTGAACTGGTTGGGGTTGGGGTTGGGGCTGCATCTGCGACTGGGGCAGGGGCGGGGACTGTGCCGAACTAGCAGCAGGAGAAATTAATATATGTGCGGTGCTACGATATTGTTCATTTGAATTCTGCTGTGACAAATTTGTTCCGTGGGCTGGTGGCTGCATTTGTGGTGGAGGGGGCTGCAATTGTAGTTGCATCGGGGGATGGATGGTGCCTATATTCTGTGGACTAACTTGAGATGCAGTTGTTCCCGCCACAGCCGCAGTTGTCATTATTCTAGGAAAATTGTATTGCGGGTTCACCCCAGCAGAAACCTGTGTATACACTTGATTTGGGATGTTGTCCAAGTTTTGAGGAGGGGGTGGAGGTGGCTGCTGCTGCTGGGGATTTTGCAACTGTGTTGCTTGCATATAGCTGGGAGGAGGAAGGGGTTGCCGTGAACTGGAACTACTGGTATTAGAATGCATTGACAGAGATTGGTACGGTGAATGTTGATTCTGTGGGTGGATCAATTGTGTTTTGACATGTTGCTGCGACTGTGGGGGTTGTATAAGGATCGAACTCTCGTATTGTTGATTGTTCCGCACAGTCTGTTGGGTGGTTACAGTCTGTGTAGTAGTCTGAATGGTTCTCTGATTCTGAATCACATGTGGCTGCGGCGACACATTGGATGGGAGAGTCAATTGTGGATTTGGCTGAAATTGTCCATTGCCACCCTGTAAATTAGGAGTAAACATTTTTTCAGTTTGAAATACAGTTCTAGTTGCTGTGGGGACTGCCATTATAACAGGTGGGCGACCGACTGGTGTTGAATTAAAGGCACTCCTTTGTTGAAAATTAGGCGCACCTGATGATGCCGTGGACATTCCCGATGACGACGATGCTGTACTCGATGTTTGCGACCATGCCTGCGGCACTGGCGAAATTCCTCGCACCATCTGCTGTACATGCCCAGCTCCCAATGAATAAGGCTGTTGACTGAACTGTTGTTGCAACTGTTGTATTGTCCTAAACTCAGAGGGGGGAGGGGTATGTCCTCTGTTTATTGGTGGTGGCGTTTGTCCTCGTTGCATGGGAGGTGGTGTTTGTCCCCGTGGAGGAGTCAACCGTCCACTTGGGGAACATTGTCTAGTTACTCCCAAATTTGTTGGCGGTGTTGAAATAATCCTTGGTGGGTCAGGAAAATACGGATAGGATCTATTTTGAGATGTGGACTGATCACTGCGAATTGATGGACTATCAGATCGGTAGCTTTGTGAATCTCCACTGGAGGGTAGCGGACTTCCCCGTGGCCTCTCTTCAAAACTTGGCTTTCTATTGACTGGGTACCCTAGAAAGACAGAATAAAAGAAGTAAATATTTGGTAATAGGTGGAGATGACAGGACAGACAGGAGACCTGAGCAAATCAATGCATACATTAAAGGCAGTTAAAGCTGAATTCAAATTTTGCACTATCTTGCATGTTACTGCATATACCGGTATATATATGTGCAATGCATTATGGGAGAGTCACAATACTGCATTATGAGCTTAGTACGAGGATGCTGCAAAGTATGCACGAAGACAGCAGAAGTAACAACCAACGAGAAGCGGAGGTTGATGCACCAACGTACTGTCTGAGTGCATACTTTGCGGTATCCTCGTAATTACTTTATTATTATACATTTTTTCCTCCCAAGGATACATCACGGGAATGCCGAAATCCAAAAAGTTTAGAACAGATTTAGCAAACTTCATTGTGTGGGGTCAAGTCAAACACTGGGAGCTGCTGACCTGAATAAGTTTTACTGTGGTTGAAAGTTGATGAACTAACAATCCAGAAATCAAATCAGGTTTAAGCTTTGGAAAAACAGTAAAAAGTTAAGAAAAAAATCATTAAAATCACAACTTTTAATTTGTAAACAAACATAGACAGCATAATTCTCATTTGTTCATTGTCAATCTTGCGAAACCACTTGAATAATGTCCGCAAGCTCCAGTGGTTACCAATCCTGCACTAACTGAAATACGATTCTACATCGCATAATCTATAAGGCAAGTGTTGGTTTTTCATAAAATTATGATAATAATGTACCGTAGCCAACAGAAAGTTGTGCTAATTTGATTCAAAATTGAAGATAATACATAAAAATAAACAATTCAAAGGCTGAAACTGAATATGTAAAAAAGGGAGAAACCCTGATAACATTCACAGCGGACAGAATTTTACAGTTCGCCAAAAAATCTCAACAGAGATGGCAACAATTCAGTCAATGATATACTGATACATAAATTGATGCCAACTCTAGATAACTGGAACCACCAGTGTCAGTCATGAGTTGTCAGTGCCCTGGTCATAGCATACAGTCATGAGTTGTCAGTGCCCTGGTCATAGCATACAGTCATGAGTTGTCAGTGCCCTGGTCATAGCATACAGTCATGAGTTGTCAGTGCCCTGGTCATAGCATACAGTCATGAGTTGTCAGTGCCCTGGTCATAGCATACAGTCATGAGTTGTCAGTGCCCTGGTCATAGCATACAGTCATGAGTTGTCAGTGCCCTGGTCATAGCATACAGTCATGAGTTGTCAGTGCCCTGACCATAGCATACAGTCATGAGTTGTCAGTGCCCTGACCATAGCATACAGTCATGAGTTGTCAGTGCCCTGACCATAGCATACAGTCATGAGTTGTCAGTGCCCTGACCATAGCATACAGTCACGTGTGGTCAGTGCCTTGGTCATAGCATACAGTCATGAGTTGTCAGTGCCCTGACCATAGCATACAGTCATGAGTTGTCAGTGCCCTGGTCATAGCATACAGTCATGAGTTGTCAGTGCCCTGGTCATAGCATACAGTCTTGAGTTGTCAGTGCCCTGACCACAGCATACAGACATGATTTGTCAGTGCCCTGACCATAGCATACAGTCACGACTTGTCAGTGCCCTGACCATAGCATACAGTCACGACTTGTCAGTGCCCTGACCATAGCATACAGTCACGACTTGTCAGTGCCCTGACCATAGCATACAGTCACGACTTGTCAGTGCCCTGGTCATAGCATACAGTCACGAGTGGTCAGTGCCTTGGTCATAGCATACAGTCACGAGTTGTCACTGCCCTGACCATAGCATACAGTCATGAGTTGTCAGTGCCCTGACCATAGCATACAGTCATGAGTTGTCAGTGCCCTGACCATAGCATACAGTCATGAGTTGTCAGTGCCCTGACCATAGTATACAGTCATGAC